AACTGTGGACACATGCACAGCTCAGAAAACAGCATCTGGGACCTAGATTCTCTAGTAAAATCCACAAAAATGAATGCTTTGATATAAAATCTTGATATAAAATGAGGATCTAATTCTCTAAATTAGTCGGTTTGAACCCACCTGGATCACAGCTCCTGCAGGGAAAACAACTCGTCCTCTTAGTGGGTTTGTCCATAAATGTTCCAGCTGTGCAGGGAAGACACGACCCGTTTCTGAACTTTGTACAGTCAATTTGGACTCGATTTCCTTTGAGAAAAAAGGAAACATGTCAATAAGACATTATTATATTATATGTATCATATATAAACATGGGTGGCACAGTGGTGTGGTGGTTAGCACTGTCGCCTTCCAGCAAGAGGGTTCTGGGTTCGAATCCCGGGGGAACCAGGACCTTTCTGGGTGGAGTTTGCATGTTCTCCCTGTGTCTGCGTGGGTTCTCTCCGGGTTCTCCGGCTTCCTCCCACAGTCCATAAAACCTGCATGTTAGCTTGATTGGAGATTGGGGAAATTGCCCTTAGGAGTGAATGTGAGTGTGAGTGGTTGTTGGTCCTTGTGTGTCTCTGTGTGTCCCTGTGATGGACTGGCGGACTGTCCAGGGTGTACCCTGCCTCTCGCCCGTTGACCACTGGGATAGGCTCCAGTTCCCCCCGTGACCCCATCAGGGAATAAGCGGTATTGATAATGGATGGATGGATATATAAACATATTATATTACATCCTGTGGGAAAGCAGGAACAATCACGAGAAGAAAACATATAAAGCCAAATAAATACTGGTGGCTCTCACCGGGGGGGCACATTGGACAGCACTCGTTGTTTATCAAATACTCTGTTGGATGACATATGAGGGAATGAACAGTGAAGGCTCCCATCACAATCATCTGTGGAGAGAAAGAAACTTTTATAGACTTACTCACTATTAGGATCCTTTTTCTCTTTATTATACTATTTTCTGTTTTTCTACGTTTGGCACCTACAACATTGTTCAACCAATTTCAACAACTAAGGCATCAAATCATTCAGCTTTTCTGTGAGACAGCAGCTGTGACTTTTGGTTTTAAAATCTTTTAAACTTTTTAAATTATTCAACTTTTTGTGAATTTTCTTTTTTTGTTATTCAACTGAATGGCAGAGCCTTTAAATCCTTCAAAAAGTTTGACCTACTTCAGCCCTAACTACTTCTGCTTACTTTAAGCTAGAAACACCATTCAACTTTTAATCAGGTCTCAGGGCAATAAGCTATCACCAAATTATTTTCCTCTTTTAAATATCCAGCGGTTTTTGAAATATCACAATTTAAAATTTCAGCTCCTTCAAAATTTTACACTGTAATTCCTATGGAGGAATCCAGAGTGGGAGATCAAAGGGGTCATGTGACACACTCTAGATTTTCAGCCAGGTCCATTCTTCAAAAAAATCTTCAAACTCCTTCTGATTACTTCGACATCCTTCAACTTTCAAAGACAAATTATACCTCAAAATGTGGGGAATTTTGTCCTCTTTCAGCTAATGTAACTTCCAAAGCATTTAAGCTTTTATATTTTGATCAGCAGCCTCCAGACTCAGAGGTATGCCTCTGAGTTCACATTGAGAATCATTATTAAAATCTGAACAAAAACTTTTATAAAACAAAGGTTTTATATTTTCAAATCTCTCTCGTTGGCACATTTCTGGCTCAATTAAAAACGCTGATGTGTTCCTTAATCCCTCCAGGCACTCAGGGTATCAACAGAATTTTCCTGGCCCTAATAGTTTTGGCTCAGGAGGTCAGAAAGTGAAGGCTAAACCAGCCTTAATCCAGTGCATCATTTGCATCAGTTTTTTTTTCTTGTTTTAATGCTCAGTTAAGACCAAATTCTGTGACAGATATTGGAAAGGAAGCGAGTTTAGAGTCCAGGCTTCCTGTCCAATTATCCACACCCCCGTTTTCCTCACATTTAAGCCCCTGATGACTCTCTTTGGAAGAAAAACGTTATTACTTTTGACTCTCAGATGCTTGTTGCTATGACACCCAGAGGTGTAACGGAGGTTAGGAATCTGAACATTTATAAATAATCTGAAGCAGTCTCACATTTACCTTTGTAAACTCCTAAAACAAAACAAAACTGCAGATTTATTTCTTGCTCTTTTCCTTTTTGATCTCCCACTTAAATCTCAAATGTTTTTGTATTTTGTGTCACAGAAGAAAAAGATGAAAATACTGAATAACTGAATGTTCTCCAGGTCAGAAATGAAGGTTAAATAAAGCTAAATAAAAACTAGCTTCATGGGTGCTGAGAGCCATCAGAGGCTCTCCT